ACTTCTAACACGTTGTTTTGTCAGAATTTGTTTCATGAGACCTTAAAATCGCAAAATAGCTGAAGACAACACATCTGTTCGCCCGTCTGTCTGTCTGTGAACACCGCTAGCTATTAAACCGTAAGTATGATTTTCATCAAAATTGAAATTATCCAATTGATCTGACTGATGTTGCAACTCCTTCAATTTGAAATTAATATTTTGATTTTTTGGGAATCTGTACATGAAGCCTCCAGAACATTTTCAATTTTTTGTCAAATTTCTCGAAAGTTTTTTAATTTTTTTTCTCTAATAGAGAAAAAGACGTTCCAGGAAATGGCATAGGTCGTAATTTCGTTGCATCCCCTACATTTTTGAAAACTCCAAAATTTCACAGTTTATTCTATGTATAAAACTACAATAACGTAGATAGCCTTTTTAAAGAAATCTATTCATTATAAACAGATGTTTAAATAAGGTCACGTATAATTTTTCGAAAATACGAATAGTTTTTGCAAAATGCTGCGTTAAACAACTTTGGCAAGGCAATTTTGAAACAATTGAAGCTATTATATTCTTTGAAAATCTGTACATTTTTTCTTTAATTACTTTCTCTGGAATGTAGCAAAGAACGGCAAAGAGGGCGATGCTGGTCCATTTTTAGGTCAATTCTCCGCATCTATGCCCCGCGGGCGCTTCGTGTGGATTTGTTTGGACTTCAAGTGATGAGCGAATTGAGGGAAGAAATTGCAATATTATATTACATTAACGTTTTCAATAATGCGAGAAAATGTGTGCTGTTGAAGCGTCTCTAGTTTGTTGTAGTAAAGTGTATTTTGATGCAACCCACCCAAAACTTTGTAGTAAAAATCAGCTCAATCAACAAAAACTGTAAAGGAATCCCAGTATAATATTGTGCGGAGCAATTTAAAATAGTAACACCATCTAGCGGATAAACAATATAATTCCTTAAATTTAAATTATGAACTCTCCTAATTTGAGGTAAAAGATGAGTCCTCTAAACGTTGCGTTTTTGCCCACAGACCGCGGTACGGTGGTGTTAGTGGGGTTGCATACCCTTCAGGGTACATTTTGTTCTCAGAGTATGTAAGTATGATAAGAGACCGGATTTATATGTAATTACATATTTTTTGTCTTTCCACTTACCGTTCTCAAAAACTTCATTTTTAGTGAATCGTCGTCGTCTTAAAACGACCTCCATATCTTTGTTGCATATTTTTACATATTTAGCACTATACGAGTATTACATATTTTACGTACGAAGTGCGCATCAGCGACTGAGATCATTTTCACCTTTCGGTGTTAAAGGTATCACTGACCGTATCGGGACCTTTAATCTTGATTTCCGAGAAACTCTGGCGTTTGCCGTCGTGTAACACTTCGATGAGAAATCTGCACGCTGCTGCAACGATTATTTCATGGTCGGAGATATCGCTAGGTTATACGAGGGCTTCTACTGCGTCTTGTCTGCCTGCTAAAGTACAGATCTGGGTAGCAATAGATGACGCTTTTATCACTAACGGGAAAGTTTAAATTGCAACATGTGCATCAACTTGTGCTCTCGAAATCATTTTTAAACGTTTGTATTATTTTTAAAAGTTATGGTACAAAATTCCAGAAATTTTTATTATAGTGAAAACGTAATCTATGAGACTTGGGGTAGGGCGCCATAAACTCATTTTAGCTCAAAATTGTTGGAAAAGATTATATTTTTATTCAGAATTTGTGCTTTCAGCGAAGAGTGATCTAACCAGACTCTCTGGACGCTAGCCTATTATTTGTACAGCTTTGCGCAGTTCAGTATCTTCATAGACGTCGGAAAAGAAGAGGAATAGAAGATTAATATAAAACTATAAAAACCGGACTTTCCTAAAAAAGAGAAATAGTCATTTAATATTAGGAAACGTCAAAAAAGGTAAATGTAGTGGAATATTTTTTCTGTATAACACGCAATATTTTGAGAAATGTCTAAATATGATGAATAAATAAGAAGTATAAATTGATATTAGGAATATCAACAACATACATAAATGCAGTCAAACAACTTTATAAAGATAACAAAAGTCAAGTAAGTGGACAAATTGTCTATCAGACAACTTCCAGTAAATAAAGCGATTACGACAAGGCTGCTGTATATCTCCAACCCTGTTTAAGATATACATTGATAAAGCCCTAAAAGAATGGGAAAGGAAAGTGCAGAAGCATGGTGTGAAAATGGTGATGGAAACATTGTTTAGTCTTACTATTTGCAGATGAACCAGGTGATAATGGCTGAAGATGAAGACGATGTATCTTATATGTTCAGAAAATTAGTAGACGAGTATGAAAAATGAGGGATGGAAATAAATTTACACAAAACTGAATATATGGTGGTGGGAGGTATGCCCCATGATTTAAGAGACTAGATATAGGAATAAATTAAAGGTAAAAACACAATATAAGTATTTGGGAGTCACACTAACAGCAGATGTAGAGACGAACAGAGATGTGGAAAATAAAAATTAAGAGGAAAAAATACCATAAGGCAGTTGAACCAGTGCTATGGAACTCAATTATTTCAATGAAAACAAAGAAACGCATATATAGCTCGTTCATAGAGAGTACTACACTCTATGGGGCAGAAGTCTGGACACTATCAAAAAAATTGAAAGACAAATTTCAATCAACAGAAATGATGTTCTGGCGAAGATGTTGTAAACTTCTCTGTAGATAAAATAAGAAATGATGAAATAAAATAAAAGAAGTGCAAACAACCCTTGAACGATACAATCGAAATGAGACAACTAAAATGGTATGGACATATAAAGAAGGGTTGAAATCGGACTAGACTTCCTCAAAAAGTTTGGAGTGGATACCAAATCGAAGAAGATACAGGGGAAGACCGAGAAGAACATGGAACATGGCAATAACTGAAGCATGGAAAAAGAGAAATGGAAGAAAACGATGTTTGGATAAAAGAGGCATGGGAATTGGGATGCGGAACGGCCAAGCCTGTAAAAAACCGCTAAATAGATAGATAGATAAATTGTATTATATTAAAATTATATCATTATTTTTCGTATGTAAATGTTTTGTTGATGAAGCAGTATTTCAGAAGAAATAAAGATGAAGTTGTTTTAAGACATCTGGAAGGGCATAGTTTCATTATAATAAGAAATGTTTTAAACGAGTATTCTAAAACTTTTTAGTGAGTGGGCAGAATTGTCTATCCTGAGACAAAAATTTGCTTGACATGTATAAATATACACCCTTTAGATTCTACAGGAATTCTAGAGTCTAGACTCTAGAACATCGAGCGATTTATGAAAATATCATTATATTATTAACGATCGTTGGCCATACTCAGCTAAATGTGTTATATTCTATTGAATTTTTATTGTGTTCATTTTACAAGTTGAATTGATTGATATCATTGAGATGATCCATGACGTCTCGGTGATATGTAATTTTTAACATGAATACAAAATACTACAGTAAGTTCGGCCACTTAGGGGAAACGAGCGGAAATGTGACATTTCAATGTCGTACATTGATTTATTCAAATAATGTTTTATAATAAAGTGACATTCAATCCAAATTTAAATTATATAGCTAAGGGTATTAGTGGTATGCAATAGCAAAGGGTGACATCTTAGCATCGAAGTGCTATGGAATAAATGGTAACAAAAACGGTTAGAGAAGAAAGTATTATTGAGGATTGAAAAACTACCAGATGATAGTGAGCCTTGGGCGAGTAACGATGTATGTGGAGGAAAGGAAATTAGTTGACGGGACAAGAGAGAAATGCATAGAAATCGCAGTAGAACAGAATGCTGCTGAAAACTGGACTGGAAACTGTGATGCCAGAGAAGCCTAATAATGTAAAATTCTCGCAGTACTATTACAAAACTTTGAACTCCTGGTGTTGGCACTCTTCGTTTTCACACCACTACATATCTCCTTCTATTTGTGTATCTGATTTCTACATTAGACTAGCAGTTGAGACTGAGGAACTTTTACAGCAAGTCTGAAACTCATTTATGAGTGTATGAAACGCTAATTACCCTGCAATAAGCAAAATCAAGATATTGCTGTTTATCATAACCTGACATTGCACCCCGACGCAGAAAGAAAGTGAATAAACAGTGATATTATCGATCTTCAACTTCTAAAAGCGTTACTAGTCGAAATAGGGGAAACAGGATGTTGTGACCGTCTTGTGTAGGTTAATGTACGGAATGTGTCTGGCTGTGTTACAAGCTCACGCATTATAAACTCAGATTGATAGACTGAACAGATGACACCTTCTACATAAGTCATTTTCCAGAGTTGAATATTTAAAGATGAATTTATGATAATTTATTGTGTTGATGACCTACACTTGGATTGCTCGGCTAGTGAACCTCTCGGTTGCGGCAAACAGATCGTCACCGGAAAGCCAGGCGCTCGACGCTTGTCGACATGGGGCTGATCCAAATCGTGGCGATGTCTCCCACAGAGTATTTTTAGTTTCCAGGACTGGTATTTGTCAGATGGTTCAATTGCAAAACTAAATGAATCGTTATCATAGTAATGCAAATTTAGTTGCGTGAGTGTGCACTGTTCTTATTTAAAGTTGTTCTTGTCCTTTCGATGTTTTCCAGCTCGGTTTCGGTCCAGTGAATGACACCAAAAGAGTAGGTGAGAACAGGTATTGATTGCTTTCAATGTTTTTCCCATTGAGTTGACTTTCAACATTTTGGTCAATCTGTTCATATAAGTTCTCACAAGCGTCTCTTTAATCACTCGGTGTTCAATAGTCTGGATTGAGCGAAACCGAAATATTTACAGGTATCTTCTTCAGACATTGCCTCTATTGTCTCTCCCGTTTGGAGATGAAAGCCATTATATTGGCGCATTCCTTGAGGATTTTTTGTTGCTGTGTGTTTTGCACTTGTCTATTTCAAATTTCATTGCAATTTTTATTATTATTATTATTATTATTATTATTATTATTATTATTATTATTATTATTATTATTCCTAATACTAAAAGAGTTAAGATAATGAATACATTTTTAATAACATTGTATTTCATTTTATGATAACAAAATAACATTTCTCTTTGGAACACTGTATCTCCAAGAAAACTAGTCATATAGTACAATAAAGTATCTCTGTAAAGACATTTCAAAGTTCTTTGATAAATATTAGAATATTCAAAATGTATAGAGCACATGTGCATGCACTATACTCACAGGCACTTACTTTTACATATCAGTTGATGTGTCTGGAAACTACAAAATCAATCATAACAATGCTCCAAAATTATGTACTAGTAAGTTCTAAGAGCCAAGAAACATTATTATTACTATTATTACTTCTAATAAAAGATGAGGTAATGGATACATTTCCAATAACACTGTATTAATTTCATGGTAACAAAAATAACATTTATTTTTGGAACACTGAATCTCCAAAAATATTAATCATATGGCACAATAAAATAACTCTGTACAGACACTTCAAAGTTCTTCAATACAAATTAGCATTGACTTGTTGCAAAATATTCTAATACATAATTTAACATGATAAATGAAAATGAATTACTAGGAAAATGACAACACATACAACTTACCATATGAAGGATTAGAGAGAGAAATAATTTTCCCTTACTGTAGTACATAATAGTATATTATTTCTTCAAATGTTACCCAGGTGTATTTCAGAGGTTACTTCAAAAATTATATACCAAATAATTTTAAAAAATGACATGCATCTTTTTAAGCGGATATACTTTGGTAATATTTTAAAGAACCGTAAAACTTACTTGGACAAGTAAATTTCTATTTACTATATTTTAGATTTTAGATGTTTATAAATTCATGTTATTGTTAAGTTCTGTAAAATGTTATTTGTTAAAAAAATGCATACATTATCCAAATTTATTGTAATTGTAAACATTGAAATTATTAAATTAAGAAAATTGACATGGTTTTAATCTCTGTCTATATACATAGTACTAAATCATACATTTTTATTGATTATTTGCAAAATGGAGACATGAATATATTGCATTAATGAAGTTAATCTAAAAGTTGGGATGAAAAAGGATCATGATTCCTTTTTAATCAAAAACTTTTCTGTAATTAAATTAAAATTGCTGTATTTGAATCAATTTTTTAGTTTTTTGGTATATAATTCAAATTCATGAATTGTTTGGTATGCAGTTCAATGTCAGGAATTCGTGTTGATGATAACTATTACTAAATTAAGTGGCGAAGGGTCTCGTAATGCAAAAAATTAACAAACAAACAAAAATTAAATAAATAAAAAATTAAAAAATAAAATAAAATAAAATATTGTTCATTTTTGCTTTTAAATTATGGTCATTATTAAGTTCATATTTCAAAGGTTTAAGTGTTTATATAGATGTTCAAAACATCAAAATATTTTTTAAATAATGTATATAAAATTTAAATTTATATAAAAATTTGTAAAAAAGTATTACTTTTATGCAACAAAGCAATACAAGTGAAACAAAACAAAATATTTAATATTTTAAAAAATTTTTGTAAGCTTAAATTTTATTAATTTTGACTTATTTAAGTAATTATGTTTTTAAGTTAATGAAGGATAATTACACATTTAAAGGTCAACATTTTACATGTAAATGATCAAATCATATAATAATAAAGTTAAATGAAGATATTGCAAAATTATTAATCTTCTTTTGTTTTGTTACAAGTTTTAAAAATTCAATGCTGTTTTGTTTTTCAAAAGTGCTGGTAGTATTATAAATTGCTACTGTGCCCTTTGTTAATTAATTATTTGTTTGTTTTGATTTGATTATTTGTTGAAAATTTTAATTACTTGAATAATGGCAGGAGAAAAAACATGCAGAATTCACAAAAATGTTGATGATTGGCATCAGAAACCTTTTACAGAATTAAGACAAAAATTTAAAAAACATGGTTTGAATTATATCACCCCATCCTAAATGTAAATTGTTTTGGTGAGAAAAAATAACTATCCTTTAATTGGAGTTTCCACATCTCTTTCATCTATCCTGAGCAATTGGCAATTTAGCCCATAAATAAATGCTTGCTTTGAAGAAAGAATTTATTACTTACTACTTTGTGAAAGTTTATTTCTTTCACTAATTCTTCAATATGGAATATCAATAAAATTTTTGTTTAAAACATTGAAAAATTAATAATTGTTCAAGAATTTTACTCTAAGAGAGAGAATTAGAATATTGATGTCAAAAGTCTAGGAAGCAGTCACCTAGATATCTGTTTCAGTACTGCTGGTATTATTTAAAAATCATACCTTCCTTTATTCATAACTGAATAATATTTTAGCTGCTGTTGTAAAAATGAGTCCTTTTTTGTTATTCTCGTATTCTAACATTGCAAAACAGTATGGCAAATATAATTTTTTTGGCATAATTGACTACAAACAATATCTATTCCATTCAGAAGAATCAACTGCTCTCCCAATAACATAATCACTGATTTGAATTTTTTAAAGGTTAAAGGCCTATGAATAGGAAAGTTTTTTTTTTGTTGGTAAAACGAACTGAATGTATTTCTAAAGAATGCACACATTTTCATTTACAACAGGTACATATCTTTAATATCTTGCATTCTTTAACTAGAAAGTGTTTTTTATCCCTAGAACAACTTCTCCTTTACTATTTACAGAGATTTTCTTAAAACTACAATAACGATAATAATAATAATATTGTAGAACGATATTTAATTGTCATTTCTTTGGTATATTACTTCAGCAACACATTCCAAAATCAAAATACCATGAACAAAAGGAGGAAACACAAAAAATGATGCTTACTACTAGTGAAGAAATGATAAAAAGATAAAGTGAAAGATTTTATGGTGAGAAAACTATGAAGTCAAAAAAACATGAAAAAAATTTAGTTCATGATATTTTTCTGATCTGTTTTTATCAGAGGTGGTATTCTTTTCTGAAAAATCATTTCTAATTTTTTTCAATTTCTACATCAGCTTGATACCATTCACAATCATTCATTAATGTATATAAAATTTTTGACTAGCTTCAGAATATATACGTGGTTTCTCACCAGGCTATTTGAAAATGACTTCCGAGTTGTTTTCAACAACAATCTGACCCATGGGGCAGGGATAGTAAGGACTTTGTAGAAGTGGGAGAAGCTGGTGGTTTTGACAAAAGAGGTAGCGTTCGCCTAGGTGGCAAATACAATCGTAGTTTTCGCCAAAAGCGAGATCGACCTGGAGCTTTGATGTCTTCATCAGGCATATCATTCTTTCTCTTAATAAACTTACTGAAACTTAAAAGACTTTTGTCTTTAACTGCTACAATCTGTTGATTTCTGAGTGTCCTTGATTGTCCTTTGCTTGGCTCCCACACTACAGTTCGCACAACATGTAGAACCTGTCGTATAGTCTCATTGGCAGATTTATCAGCTAGTTGTACCTGTGCCCAGTCAATGTCCTAAAACACAATAACATAAAGTAAAATTTTATTTTCAATGCTTAATTAATGCAATTAATTATTCTGAATATATACAATATTCTTAAGAGGCATTCAGATCTTTATTTACTAAAATAATGACAAAAAAAATCAGAAAATTTATTATTAATCTTCAAAGCATTTATCACTGGTGTTTATAATATAAAATAAACGTGTACATTTTTATTAAAAAGAAAAACACTTTATTTTGATGTGTGTCTGATCTAAAAACTATTACAAAGAATATAGCTGAATAAGGCAGTGAAATGGGTCTCCAAACCAAACCAATAATCGTGATGCTCATAAGAATGAGACAATGCCCAAAATTTCCCAAAACATCAGCTTCCTAGGACAATCTGTTGCAGTAATGCAATGTGAAATGTGTTTCTCTTGTCTTATTTTTTTCTCATCTTCTATTGAATTATCAGGCTAAAACAATTGCAGAGACAAGGAAAAATAGTTGAGTTTTAAGGTATTTTTGTCAACCATTTTTGATATCACATTCAAAGAGAAAAAAAAATTCTTTAAACTGATTTATTCTTTAAAATTGATTTATTCCATAAAATTGGTATTCTTTAAAATTGAACTTGATAATGTTGGAGTGTTGTCTCAGATTTGTCTCCTTATAACATTCTTCAACACGTATTCTTTTCAGGTTTATACACAATGTAGACAATAGTGAAAAAAATTGAAACCAACTTTATCAGTTCAGAAATTTGAAATTCGCGCCAAAAACTTTCATGAAAAATCAAAAGTTTTCTGTGAAAATGATCTTCAAGTTGAGCTTTTCAAGAAGCACTCAAATTCCATTTTCTTGAAAATTGCTCCAAATTTGCCTTTAATTTTTTTCTATCGATAGTGCACTGTAACACATGGCATGAAGACTATTTTATGCATTCTTTTTTTAATTATTATTATTATTATTATTATTATTATTATTATTATTATTATTATTATTATTATTATTACACAAATATAGTTTTACTTTCATGCTATTTTAAATATCTCTCACATCAATAGTATTTACATTATATGCATTTCCCGTACATTTATTCATTTGTAAGTCCAATTGCTTCAAATAATTTATTATGAAGTTTCTTCAAAACAAAAATTTGGGTGAAAATGATCCCTAAATTCGCATTTTCACAAATGTTTAATGATTTTCTCAAAAACGGCTCCAAATTTTTCTAAAAAAATTTGCATGGAGGACCAGGTTTTCTCATATAATATTCTCCTATAATATTATTTATGTCATATTTCAATTTTGCCATTAGGGGACATAAAAGTTGAAAACATGTGAACAAATGATGTTTAGGTGTCAATAGATGGTGCTTGAGAAGAGATTGGGACAAAACCGCAAACATAACCCAGACTAAAGAGATAAGATAAAAAAACTTACAAGTACGAGAAGGTCTGTGCCAATCTTTATCACCACTAGGCTTTTTATATATGATAATGTATACAATACATATACAAAATGTTTTTTATGTTTTCAATAGGTATTATTATACTTACATGTAACTTGATACAGATTATATGAAGTTGTAATTGCAATACTGCTTTAAGAGCTACATGCAAAGCAAATGTACACCATCGGTTTTCTAACAGTGCAGGTGACAAAATCATTAAAAATCTTCTACTATCACGTACTGATTGAACCAAAGTCTCTGGTATCCCTAAAATAGAGGACAAAAATGACATTCTTACTCTCATTTATTGTAAATTCTTGCACAAATAACTCCATTGTTCTATCTCAAAGAACAATCTTTTTTTTTTTTTAATAATGCTACTTACAGTCTCCAGCAATGGAGTCACGTTCCCAAGCAAAACAACGGTAACGAAAATGGTCTTCTAAAACAGGAACCAGTGTTCCCAAAACAAAAGGTGCATCTTCTGCATCATACGACACAAATACATCATATACTTTGTCATCTGTAATCAAAATTGTACCAAATTTTAAAATGCCACCAGATGAAAAAGAACTTAAACTTTATTTTCAGTATTATAAAAATAATATTGACAAAATAAGCGTTTTTTTTCTTTTTCTTTTTTTCTTTCAGAGAAAGTACTCATAACGAAGTAATTATTATCATTCACAATATTTAACTCTTACTTGTTTTGAAATAATAAAATGATGATATTATCAATAAAAATTTAGTATAAAGTAAGTAATATTTGTACAAATTTAGAATGTTTCTAGGTGTCATAAATGGTTAATAAAATGTGAATGGAAGGGAACTTAAACCTCTCAAAAATTTCAATAAATTCATAATCTACATAAAGTTGTAATAAATACATTCTGTACTCTTAAATTGTCAATGAGTGTCTTTTGGATACTACGGGCCCTTTTTCATGTAATGTATGACTATTTCACTTATGAAATTATCACCAAAAACATTCAGTAATGTGTCTACTTTCATTAGAGAAAGATTAAATATCTTATTATTATGGTACTAGTACTGTTGAGCTCTACACTGTGAATTTGCATATCTACTTACTTTTTTCCCTTTACACAAAGTTTAGGAAGAACAATAATAAAACATTTTTCAAATGAAATTTAGTTATAACAAGATGACACCAATTCTTTAATTCTTTGTTCTCTTTACTCCTATATACTCACCATTTTCTTCCAATTTGCCAAAACGATCCTTCCAGAATAGACGTAATTCAATGCGCCAATACCAACAAAGTGGTCCAAGAACAGCAAATATTATAAATAAGGTTATCAAACACACCACAGTCACTTTCAGTTCTTTTCGATACCCTACAAAATTGAAGAAAAATTGCATGTAAGTTAGATACTTTTAAAATTACTATTAAATATACTAAAAAATACTTTTAAAATAAGATTTAAAATTCAAATACTATGTTATTTTTGTAGGAAATATATTTTCTTCAAGAACAATGAATAAATGTATTGCCAGAGTGAAGATTTTAATCCAACGGAAAAACTGTGAACAGGATACCTACTTCACTGAAACTTTGTATAGCAATTATATCCCCAAGAGTATCTTATATCATATCTACATATTTTCTTACCTCCTTCTTTCAGTATAAAATATCTGACTTTTGATTTCTTCCAGTAGCAAATATATGTGCCAAAATTTTCAAGTTCAATTGGATCAATAGTAACTGTCTGACCTATGACTTTGTTTGGTCCACTGAGATATTGAACAGCCTTAACTTTCACATTTGTTAGTTCATTGCCTTCTGCATCATAGTGAGGAAATTTTTCAACATATCCATACTGGTGAAACCAAACAACCGGTTGCTCTAAAATTAGGGGTAAAAATAGTTACATATATATCATTCATGAAAAAGGTGATTATATTCTCCATATACCAGTCATTTTATCATTTGAATTTTTTTTCCTTAAACTTCTTATTTCATTTTCTTTAATACATTGAAGACATTTTGAAAGGAAAATTATCTTTACAAGTATGGGAAATGCAAACATTGTTTTCTTCCTTTATGATACAAAATCTTAATTTTGCTTGATAAATTACACTAAAAAAAACTTTTGCTATGCAACTAAAAAACCACAAATAACAATAGAAGCTTGGAAGTTTTACAAAATTTGTATGTGAATAATGTTAATACAAAGATAATATTCAAAAAAATATGTTTTCTGTTTAGACATTATCAAAATCACAACAATTTTATTATCTATTAATTACAGCATACCTGACGTAATTGAGCATGTGAACTGAACCGGGTCTCCAAGTCGTTGAGTTCGTTCTTCATAAATTTTCTCCAGTACCTTTTCTTCATCTATGTTTACTGAAAAATGAACAATATAAGTTATAAGTTATTAAACACAATTAATTGAAAGAATATTATATTCTCTGAAAGATTTGCTATTATCAAGAATTACGGAGCCTATAAAATTACTTCAGTAAAAAACTGAGTTTAACTTTCAATCTTAGCCACTGCTGCAATGGTTAGAAAAAATATTTTAAGGCAAACCATCAATCAATTTATGAGTATCTTTGACAATATCCCTTGTGAACAGTAGTATATAATAAAGAGGAAACTAGAGGTGCTACAAAAGTAGAACAGACTCTCTAATTATAGCTATTTTCTTTCAAGTCAGGTCTACCTTTTTGGTTTGGCACACCGGGTAAATGCTTGTAGTGAGTATTTCCTGCCATGAGTTTGTGTTGAGAGAGTTTCTTGCCAATGATCCGAGTTCTGAGCAGAGACATCGAGAAGGGGAATAGCTGGGGCAACTTGCTCCGGGTCCCTACTTAAGAGGGGACCAAAAATTTATTAATAATCCATTTCCTTCCATGCATTTTTATGGGAAAATAATTTAACTGTAGTTGAAATATGATTCACTTTATAATATATTAATAATTAATAATAATAATTAATGGGAACTTTTATTGAAAAAAAGGGGCCTCCATATATCTACTGTCCCAGACCCATTGTTTTCTTTGGGCTCCCTTGTCTCTCAGAGTCAGGGGCTCACAGAGAAAACAACGACTCTGGGGCAGTATATCCATGGGGGCCTTTTCTTCAATAACAGTTACTCTTATTTATATATACCCTGCCAACCTGGGTTCAAAGTACGAGAAACCAAGCTCTGCCTGTCACAAGTCAGGATAAAGAGGGGAGTGATAGAGGAGTAACATCTCTTCAAAAAACTCTGGACCAGCTGGCCTGGCTGGTAGTACCTTGTGAGAGCCCCTTGCCAGGGTAAAAGTGAAGACCCCGTCAGCAGCTATGGTGAAACAGGACACCTCTGGAATGTCATAACTGGCGGAAGAGCTTTCCCATTTGAGACAACAAATGGGGATGCATTAAGATGGCAGCCCCATCACTAGACTTACCCATCAATAGGCTAGTAACCTGGTATGGAGAATTTAAAGTTACTGACACTCTTCAACAAGCTAAGCCGGTAAAACACAATGTTGATGACCATAGCAAGAAAAAGGACAAATGATTGGGAATACACGATAGACTTAAGATGGGAGTATGGAATGTCAAAGGAATAAAAAATAAAGAAAAGGAACTTGAAAATGAACTTCATTTTTGAAAAATTAATATAGCCAAAATATCAGAAACAAAGACAATGTGCCAAGGAACAAAAGATCTAGAATATTATATTATAATTTACAATGGAAAACTTGAAAACGAAAGAGCCAGTGGTGAAATAGCCACTTTAAATGATAAAAAGTAGAAACCCAAAAAACAGAGTTATACCGACATAAGTGACCGAATCCTGATAACAAGATTTAAATAGAAAGAGGCTATTGAACTGTATTGGAGTTTACACACCAGAAGAAGGCAAAACAGATGATACGGAAGTATTTTATGAAGTACTACAAAAACAGGTACAAAAGTATATAGATGATCACTTACTTACAGCGGGGGATTTGAATGCTAGGATAGGTAAATAAACCAATTCCATTGTAGAACATTATGTATCAACAGGAATGGAGAAGAAACATGAGAATTTGCCACCTATAACAATCTTAAAATTACTAACATGTTCTTTAGGAAAAAAGACATACGTAAGTACACCTGGAGCGCAAGAGGTAGCAGATCAATTATTCATTATGAACATAAACATAGTGAACATAAAAATAGCATCCCAAATATCTAATACGAGAGTCTTCCAAGGGAGTGATGCACATTCAGATCACTTTCTAGTAATATCAACAATATCCATATTAGCTAAATGGAGGAAAAAATGAATAAATAAAACACCGTCCAGAAAGGAAGAAATATATAAAATCCACTTATTAAACAAAGCCAGTATAAAGAATTTATACCATGAATGATTAAAGGTATATACAAGTCAGATCCCAACACAAATTGATGTAGATGAAGAATGGGATGATGTAAAAATTATAATAAAGAAAGCAGCTAATGATGCCTTAGGTACAAGGCACAAAAATTAAAGATGAAAAGGTTTGAAAATATAGTCGCTGAAATTGCTCAAACCGTTAATGATAAGAAACATGCTTACAATAAAATGTTACAAAATAATACAGAAGAGAACAGAGGGACATATAAACAAGTTTGGAACTACAACAAGGCACACTTGTACAATTCCAGAAGAATGGACAAAAGCAAAGGTAATATCACTATTCAAAAAAAGGGAATAGAAGTAAACCAGAGAATTATAGAGGAATTACCTTGCTAAACTCGTCATACAAGATATATACTAAACTTATTAACAGCAGATTAACAACTTTTCTAGACAATATATTGTTAGAAGATCAATGTAGATTTAGACAAGGAAGATCATGAATCAATGATATATTCTTTATTAATGTGCTTATACAAAATAGGCTAGAATTTAATCAGGAAACTCATATTGCTTTCATAGATTATGAGAAAGCCTTCGATATGGTGCATTCACATACGATATGGAAGATAATGAATAAAAGAGGCATTCCACTCATTTATTTGAAGTAACAAATCCTTATACCACAGAACTATAAATATATTGATTTTAAATGGAAAACTATCCAAGGAATTTCAAATTAATTCAGGTGTAAGACAAGATTGTAGCTTATCACTTAGTTTATTTAATATTTATATAGACGACGTTCTGAGAGAATGGGAACAGTGCATTACTGATGACATTGATAAACTTGGGAACCACTTTAAATACTTTATTATTTTCAGACGATCAGATAATTATCCAAGAACGTGAGGATCAGTTACCGGGCTTTCCATAAACTAAATAACATATGTGAACGATAGAACTTGAGAATGTCAACTCAAAAAACCAAAGTAATGGCATTTAGAGGCAAACATCCTATAAGAAGATAGTAATAAATAATAAAATTACAGAACAAGTTAGTCATTTTAGATATTTGGGATGTGATATTACTTTTGAATTTTATTATTATTATTAACTTGATTGGCCACATTGGACCACTTGAGTCGTTCTACTTCACTTACTTTTGAATTTAATAAAAATATTTCAGTAAAAACCTATAGATTCCAAAACATCTGTGGAACAATATAAAATGTCTGAGAAAGAAAACAAGAAAGAAAACACAACTTAATAAAGTTTTATAAATAAATGGCTATCCCCATAGTTCTTTATGGGTGTGAGAGTTGGATCATGAAAAAGAAAGATTTTACCAGAATTCAGACATCTGAGATGAGATTCTTGAGCCAAGTTAAAGGCTGCACTATATTGAACAAAATTTAAAAAAAGAGATAATCAGAGAAGAATTAGCAGTGCTCCCATTAATAAAAAAGATACAAGAATACAGGACCTGATGGTCCCAACATCTACACAGAATGAGTACTGACCGCATCCTAAAACAAATATTTCACTATAGACCTTATGGTAAAAGGTATGTCGGCCGTCCAAGATTAAGATGGCATGATGAAGACGGAAAAGGAGACTCTCCTATGACCGTCCAATTTTTTGTAAGTCAACCCAGCCTGACAATTGTAGCAAGTGACAAGTACTCGACGACTAGATTGGGAAGTCAACACTGCTCTATTGTGAAATAAAATATTTTCAAAAGCCTCCGCGACGTAGCTGTTGTCCGCTGTGATAGAGGGCTCTCGCCGCACATTAGTTCGCCCGGATAAAAATGCAAAGTCCGCCTTAAAAAACTAGTAGTGCTAAAAAAGAACGTACTTTCTAGCACGTATTTTCACGCAAAATACTCAAACTTTTGAACAATTGCACAAGACCTTATTTCAAAATATATCTTTACGGAACATATTTCATTAAGAAAACAATCGCTAACTTTAATACTTTAGTTGTAGGAAAAGTCCCCAAAAATTATGAACCTTTACAATTTTCGAAAAATGAGGGTTTTCAACGATCTTGAGACTTGCACCATTCTCTTAAAAGTCCTTCCCTATCCAACAACAAAATTTAATAAAAAACGCAGGAGCCTTTCTTGTTTTCGGAAGTTGAAGTTTTGGGCAACCTGGAATCCGAAGGCGCACAGAATCCGATACATTCTGATTCGGAAGGCAGAACCTTCTGACACTTAAACAATATCTCTCCAACGAGACAGTTCAGCAAGCACTTGAAACATTTCTCTTGCACGAAACGGGTCCTCTAGGAAATTGGAAAAGTACCTAGGACGGCCGCACAGATGCTGTAGATTCGAGACAATCGCGAATAACAAGTATTCCCCGAGAGAATCAGCCGTGGTCATTTCTCTCGTGCGAAGTAACAGCATCATGGAGAAAGTTCACGTGTAGGGCTGATGCTTAGATTTACTATCACTGATCGGAGCAGTGGTTCCGAAAATGCTGCGGGACCGGACGCCCCGACTGTAATTGACGAATGATATTACGGGCACGGTGTTGGTCGCCGGCAATACAACGCACGATGCTTTCGGGCCGCCGCATCGTCACTTGTGTAAGAGCGGAGTCGAGAGGCGCGACTCGGAGCTACGCGTTGGCGTCAGCCCTCCGGCCAGCTACGACTCGGAGCTACACATTGGCGTCAGCCCTCCGGCCGGCTACGACTCGGAGCTACGCGTTGGCGTCAGCCCCCCGGCCGGCCTGACCAGCGAGAGAACGCGAGGGAAGCACCCCTGCTACAACACAAATGCACACTACTACCTACCGACGAGGATTTTATTGATTGATTAGTGGTTCCGTGCGCGTCAACTACTAAGGTCATTGGTTCTGCAGGTGTAATGCATGTTTTCGCTCGTGAGGTGGAGACCCTCTTCCATCCCTGGTTATGGTGAGATCCGGCGCCGATCTACCGTCGATTAGCGGGGTTTTCACTAACAAGGTATCTCCCACCAGCGGGGCACCTTCCCAATCGGGACAAGCTCTGATCTCCCGACATGTGTGATACTTGCCGGAAGACAGGTCGGGAGCTAAGGGCTTGTACCGGCTGAGGAGGTGCCCCGCTGGTGGGGGATACCATGTTGGGGAAAACCCCGCTAATCGACGGTAGATCGGCGCCGGATCTCGCCATACAGCGAGGGAAAGATCACCGTCTTCCGAGCAAGAACATGCACAACACTTACAAAACTAATTACCTTGGTAGTTGACGTGCCCGGAATCACTAAAACAATCCATCAATCAATCAACCGACATGTGTGGTAGTGCATTGCATGTAGTGTATGTGTTAGTGAGGTATGTGAATAGGACGGGGAAGAAAACAGCGCGTTGTCCCTGGTTCGTTTTTTAGAGTACTGCTCCGACATTCGCCTGGTATTAATCGGAGTAACTACGGAAAACTACCGATCAGAGCTGCCAGCCGCTAGAATTATCCTCCAGACAGCGACAGAACTCAACCCAGGTATCTAGGTAGTGTCGAAAATTCTCCTGCCGCCGGGACTCGAATCCTAGAACCTTCCCGGTCACTGTCACTACAGTGGTATCAAGAGATGCCCTGAGCCACCTACGTCGGTGAGATATGTAGATCGTTACTGCTACCTGCCCCTCCCACCACCGTCAGGCGTCAGCTGCCTGCGACGAGAGTCACCGTAAGAGACAATACCCACCCGCACAGTCGTGTAACGTTCTCCCCTCCGAGAAGTGAAGGAGACACTATTTAAAGAAGACCGGTTATTTGAGCTCGTGTGATAGTGACATTACTAATACATTTGACAACCTGCCTATCCAAGACTAAATGCTTGAAGTTGGTTAATTCGTACAACAATCGAGTGTTTATGATTTACACAGAAATTTATTTTGAAATGTCTGAAGGAGATTGACATTACTATGGGATGTCATAATTATTATTCCTCTAATTCACGACTAAAGTTGTTGAGTCAGTTGAATATAAAATCTACTCCGCGTTGCTACCAACTTCCTAAGGAGCAGATCTACGGACTGTCGGTGCCTGAACAATACTTTGCGAAAAATGTGGTCAGTTCCCAAAAAAGAAATGTCGGGAAGACACATTCGGCTGATCTCGATTTTTAAACTCTTGTACTTAAGATGTTTCTCTGCCTTCTTGTTTACCATGCTTTGATCGCACGGCACAGCCACATCTATAAGTAGACATGTTTTTTTCCTTTCAAATTCCGAATAATAATACCGGTTTATTTGCCACAATCGTGCGTTATTATTATTATTATTATTATTATTATTATTATTATTATTATTATTTAGGGCGGTGATGCAATGGAACATAATAAACATAGCTTACGAAATCATTCAGGAGTTATCAAAATCGTATTACGGTCCGAGCATAAAGCACGTAGCCATGGATATGACGTGGTCCAGCGCAGACGCTGGTGGAGTGGCGAGACGCGTTGCGCGCGGAACCTACGTTTCGGGATGAGCAGGATGGTGTGGTTGAGGCTGTCTCCGCCGCCGCTGTAGTTGAAGGCGCGGCAGAGGTACAAACCGGCGTCGCGCCGCTGCATGCCCGCGCGCCCGGCCGCCAGCGTACGGTTGTCGTCCCGCAGGTGCACCAGCGACGAGTACAGGTTGTCGGGCAACCGCACCAGTTCCTGGGTGGTTTCGTTCACTCGGAACCTGCACAACGTCCGAAAAGATACGTTTGAGGAAAATACATTGCGCTGTCGGAAATGTCCGCGTTACTTTCATGAGATGTACATTAAAGTGATTATCGCGAACGCACGTTAAGTTTAATGTACACATGTACATTAAGGTAGAAGAGCCATAGCTTTATGGTGATATCTAAGATGGAAGGAATGACCTTGATGGACTGGTGATTAGGAATGTACGATAACAATCACGATAGGCCGGTACAGCAGGAGAACCTCTACCTTAAATCTACACTGATTTTAGCAGGTGCATTAAATTTACTGAAAAAATATATGAAGCTTTTTTTTTAATGTACAAGGTTACATTAAGTTTCATGTACAATACATTAATCTATATTAAATTTAATTACATTTGTGACAGAGTGATTTTGATTGTTACTATATGAAATTGTATACCAAGATCATTACTTTAGTTTTGTCGGTGGTGTAAAATTATTGTTTCGTCTTGTGACATCAAATTATCTTCTGTGGGACAGTAACAAGAGAATTCACACCAGTCACAACAAGCCTTCCGCTATTCGTAAATATCTCGATTTTAGTCGAAGTGTGTTTCATTTTGTTTTCGCCCCAAGGCCTTCATAAATTTGAACAAGATATTTATGGTATCAAGATAAGTCACGCATTCATCAAATTTGAGATATTAACAACATTTACGAATAAATGGAGGCTTGTTGTGAAGGTCGGTGTCGTTTATCTAGTGACTGCCTCAAACCCTTTAATTTATTCGTTCAAAAACCCTTTTATCATAAATAAGATACAATAGACTGGGAGGCGAAGAGTTGGAAATGGCCGTGAATGTGCTGATCTACCATCTTTCGCTAAAATAAATTATAACATGAGAACATACCCCCATTTAACAAAATGAGATCAGGACAACTTTTCTTTATCGATCTTTGCTACATACGTGGAGAAAAACAAATAAAAGTTTGGAGATGATTTTGAGACAATTGTTGTTTAAAAATTAATAATTACCTCTGTTTTTCGCATAATTACGGGAAAATATTCATATTTTTAAAAAATTGCATGTGAACTTTTTGAAGATCTGTTTCTGACACTTCATTGAGGAAATGTCATGAACATTTTATTAAGTTTCACAACATTTCACACATTTCATTTAGGAAAACAATTCTATCTTCATTATTGTAGTTGTAGGAAGACGTCGAATAAAGTGTTCTTTTGCAATTTTAGAAAAATCAGGGAATTCAACGAAAATGATACTTGAATCTTTTTCTTAAGCGTCCTTTACGTTATGTCGCAACAAAATTTAATCCAAAAATTTGGTGCAATTTTTTGAAAAAATTGAACATGTCCCAGGGGCTTCATGTAAAGAACCCTCCAAAATTAAAATATCGGTTTCAAATTCAAAGGGCGGCGACATCAGCCAAATCGATAGGGGAGTGTCAATGTTGGTGAAAACTCTGCTAATGGTTTAGCCACTCTTCACAGATAGAGGGACGGACAGACGTTTCCCAAAAATCAATTTTTGGGAATCAAAGACACACAAAACGTTGATTCTGAGTACACAACATGTTAGAGAAAGAAATTTACTGTTTAGGTATAAGATTTATCCACACTTTCGTTACCAGGGCCCAAGAAGAGTTTTTGTGTCGAAAATTCTCTGTTTTTTTCCCGTAGTATTACAATATTTTCTCTACACTGCGTAAGCAGTAACGAGAAATTAATAATTCCATAACACAGTATGAACTCCATATCAGAGGTATGCGTTTTACGTACTCTTTCTTACACAGCGAAAGAAATCGTATAAGTTTATACATCGATCATTAGATAGCGCTGAAGTAGGATACTTTCGCTCAGCTTCAGCTCAGCAGCGCCCGCCAGGAAACGCCATTTTTGAGACCCATGATGCCATTCGAGCACTATTGTTTGAATAATATTTCTATCTACTTGACAGCTAGCGACTGGAGAGAGGGTTGAGTTATCCAACCAGAGGCTTCAAATTCTGCCGATCTTACTGCAAAGTTGCCGATACTAATTAAGAAAAAATGAAATCTTACAGCGCGAAGCCACTGTAAACTGAAGAGCGTCGTTACTTCTTTGGTTATGCATCTTTTGTGCGGTTCTGTGTCGTCCACTGTTGTGTGCTCTTATTGCGATTTGATTCTTGCCACTGTTGTGGTCTGATGCAAGAACGACCGTGTCTGCCAACCGAGTAAGTGGCAACACCGCTTTACCCCCACCCCAGCGGTCCAAAGAGTATATATGATTCGGCCTATAATAGGCGGCAATTAGCAGAGGCTATGGCGATTACTCTTTGTAAGTCCCAGAGCAACGCCGCGTTTAGGGCGCCCGTAGCCAATGAAACTGAAGCCGAGAAGAAGCGGGAACATGAATTCTACGGATGTATTCGAATCGAGGTTAACGCCAAATTGATGGATAGGTGTACTGCACATAAATTATTTTAAAGAGGGTTCGAGTAAATGCTCATATTATTCTGGAGGTGGGCGAGGGACAGTGCCCCTTCCTGGCGCGGCCGCACCTGCTTAAACATATTGGATATACCGAACTTTCCCATTCATTTCCTTACAAGTCATCTTCTCATAAAAAAATATTTCGAGAAAATATGAAGGTTTTAAAGTTTGAACTGAACAATTTGTTTCGCGTCTTTCCACATGAGAACGAGAGAAGCTGATAGAGGCCGGTTGAAGGTAGGGCGCTTGCGGCCGCGATTGCCGTGCCTGGCGGATGCCGGTGCGTCCGGCTGGCGGCCATTTTGACGCCGCCGGACTTCCGGAGAGCCACAGAATACCGCAGAGCTGCCGAGAACATCGAAGCGGACGACATGTGTGGCGATAAGGGCGGTTTTCGTTCTCCTATGACTTGTGAAAATGCCTCTTTGAGTTCTCGAGCTAGTAGGAATCGATAGAGTACCTATATTTGAAGAAAATTATATAGTCTAATCAATGATGAAAGAGATCACACATAGACGTCACACAATGACGTCGCTAGAACGTCCAAGGGGAATTATTATTTTTTTGTTTTTCTTCTATAGAAAAACATGTTTTGTTTTTTGTTTAATTTTTCCTAAATTATGACCCACAGGCTTCTGAATGGAATACCTAATTAACTCGCAAAGAGTCACAAGATAAATAATTACAATGACGTCATTTTTGACAATTTTAACTGAAAAAAGAATACTTATGAAATATTTTTAGTAATATATTTACTAAATCTACATAATAACACATTATTTAAATACACTCAATAAATATTTCAAAATTACGAATATTGAATAAAGATATAATTTTAGATGTAAGATCATTTCACCAACAAAATGAACTCGTATATGAGAATGGGGCCTGAAAGAACTCAGTCAAAGATAATGACAGCAATTTTTTTCCATTCTCGATGCTCATTCACACCGGAAAACTTTTGTGCAATCTTTCTTGTAGTGGCAACTCGAGGAAATTCCTACTACTACCGGAGAGAAGGCTTATATAGTTTCTTAGTCATTTCGTCAGTGATGAGGATAAGTTTCAATTTCATTTTTCTCGCTCATAATTTCTGCTCAATTATGCTTATTTTCTGTTCCTAATACTTTGATCACGTTTTTGACGGTTCCATAATAATATCACATTTATATTACTGCACACGTAAAAAGCTGCAATCATTTATTCTACAAATAACTATTAAAAATGATGTTATCAGAAATTTTATATTCTATATATTCTAATAAATACCTTTTCATTTATGCTGAATTCAAAATTCAGTTTTATTTGTTGACTTATAGTTATTTATAACGTATTCAATTATATATGTGTTTATTTTCCTGAGTTTTGAGATATTCTTACAATAGGCCGTTTCGTAGAAGTTATCGCGAGCACGCAAGATATTTCAAACCTTTAAGCTTCGGCTGATGGGTACTATGAAACAACTCTTTAACATAATTACACAATTTATATATTGCATTGTATTAGTCTTTTCTCTATTAGGTTAGCAGAGGAATTGACTCTATGTCACAGCAATCTTATAAAACAGAAGTGAAGACCAAACGTAATACCGTCCTCAATATACAAAAAAAAGTTGTTTCCCAGTTTTCTACGTAAATGCCTGAAATTAAATCTAGTGATTAATTTGAATTAGGAGTGATTAAGTTTTTTATTAATTTTAAACGAAAAAATCGGGGTCACAATGAAGTCGGAGTCTGGGGCACGTTGTCTCAAATGCCTCCCCTTTGTGGGTGTCTCTGTTCACGTGTGCCCATTTAGAACAGCCAATTTTCACTGCTCCAGGGCCCCCTTTTCTACCCACTCAACAGCAATACTTTTGCTGGCGCTGGACTCTGGTTTAGAACCTACACAGCGATAGACAAAAGCGAAGTTTCGCACTCCGGAAATGCCGTCAACAAACACCGCCTGCGATAGTACTATCACAGACGCCATGTCATCACACGAAATGTGCTTTGAGAATAAGAACTCTACGTCACACTGAAGTGATTTACTATGATTTTTGCTTTAGTGACCTGCTCAATGCATCCACGAGATGGAACCTTCTAAAACATTAATTTGTTCTTGAAGCACGTGTGCGAAGTTTAGGTATGTAATTCAAATTCCAATAGAAAATTGACAAAAGTTAATGCTTTAACACTGTGAAACAGTTTTAGCTCAAATAATAGCAGCAAATATGTTACAATACTTTTTTCTCATCAACTTCTCCTTCATACTAGATGTTGGTGTTAAAAGAGTTTTCAGAACGGATTCTGGTGATAAATTATTTATTTTTTATAAGTTGTTCATACTGTGAGGAAAAAGATAAAGAAGAAAACAATTTTTTTAGAGTAAGCATAAGTATTTCGCCAAATAATGCCTACTGACCTGCCTTTTCACACAATTGAGGTAAAGCAACGTTTTATTAAACAAATCTACGATTAAACGTAAAATTCGCCATTAGGTGTTTGCGCTCACAACACTACTAAAATCAAATGTTAGCAACTGAGTGTTGGATATCGTT